TCTTTCCAAACTTTGCTAGCTTTTTAGTCCATCAGCCTTTCACTTCTTAACAGGCCATGATATGGGGGATGGGGGTGGGGGAGGCAGTGCCTTAAAACCATCCGAATAGACCTAGACAACAGGGTCTCCTTTAAAATTTTATATATGTGTATATGTAAATATATGTGTGTGTGTGTGTGTGTTTGTATATACACATATAAATAAATAAAATTATATATATGCCTGACATACTTTTAAATCTAACCTTCATTATTACATTTTCTCCATTATTTTCTCACACCTCAACAATCAACAAAATGATAAACCAAGTCCTGATTTATAGCATTTGTCAATTGCTCACACTGAAAATTGGACCGTTTCTCAAGAGCCTGAGACCCCACCATGATGGTAAAGAACCAGAGAGGGCTTGAAGTTTGCTTAGGCTTTACCAAAGAACGAATGGAGATGTGACCAGCTGAGAAACCAGGAGAGAAAGCACCTCTGCCCATTCCTTCTGCTCTCAGGAATCTTAGGATTTAGTTTGGGGCCCAGAAGGAGAAGGCAAGAGACACCCCAGCAAAGGTCTGAGGAAGTATTCCAAGGCAGCACCTCCCAAGTGAATCAGGGCCTTGAAGCCACCACCGGTCCTGGGGAGCACCCTGGCCTCCTTCCTCTTGACCCAATCCAATCAATGGCCTCTTCCTGAGGCCTGAAGCCCTCCCTGCTGCCCTTACAATTGTTGACCTGATTCTCCTTGAACTATTTCTGCCCTTGGCTCCCACTGTATTCTGATTCCCATCCAAACCTGAGGAAATAGCTGGTGGTCTGGGCTCCTGGGTTGTGGTGCCAGGGCAGCTACTCCTGGCTGGGCAAACCACTTTCTCAGGCAGGTCCCTTTCCCTTTTGGGGCTTTAGTTTTCTCATTTGTAAACAGAAGGGGTGAGACCCAGTGATCTCTAAGGTCCCTTTCTGTTTTGATGTTCTGAACTAAAGTCTATGCTCCCTCCAGAGAAAGAACTGATAAATAGAAGTATGCGTAGTATGATTTTACATACGTATATGAACAAACATATATATGTATATCTGTGTCAAATGGTGGCCTTCTCTAGTGTGGGGTGGAGAGGCAGGGAGGGAAAGAGTTCAAAACTTAAAATGTAGCAAAAAAAAAATTAATTTAATTAAATAAGAAACAAACAAAATCTATGATTTAAGGTCTTTCCCAGCTCTGACATTCAGAATTAGGGTTGGGGTTCTTTGCCTGACACACCAGAAGCACTTAATAAATGCTTATTGATTGACTAAGGTCCCTCCCAGCTCTGACATTCTCTATTCTATGTTCTAACATCTCTCAGAGGTCTGATGTTCTCTTTTATAAGGTCCCTCCCAGCTCTGGCTTTCCTTGTTCAAAGGTCCCTTCTAGCTCTGACATTCCATGTTCTAAATTCTGTGTTCCAAGGTCCCTTCTAGTGTTATATAATTATAATCTACAGTCTTTCCCAACTCAGACATTACACGTTCTAAGACTCCTCCCAACTCTGCATTCTATGTTCTATTGTACCTCCCACCTCAAATTTTCTATGCTCTGTATTCTAATGAATGTCAGATCTGGGAGGGCTCTTAGAACATAGAACAGACAATGTCAAAGCTAGAAGTGTCCTTTGAACATAGAATGTCAGAATTATGAGAGACCTTGGAATAGGGAAGTCAGAGCTGGGAATAATACCCTTAGAACCTAGAACTGAGAATGTCAGAATTGGGAGGAGCCTTAGAACATAAAACATCAGAGCTGGGGGGATCTTAGACCAGAAAATGTTAGAGCTGGGAGAACCCTGTTGTAGAACATAGAATGTTGGAGCTTGGAGGAACCTTAGAACAAAGACTATCAGAGCTGAGAGGAGGCTTAGAACAGAGAATGTCAGTACCAGGAAGGGACTTAGAACATAAAACAATGTTAGAACTGGGAGGGAACTTAGAATACAGAATGCCAGTGCTAAGAGGAACCTCGGAACACAGAATATCAGAGCCGGGGGAGGGACCTTTCGATATAGTATGTTAGATCTAGAAGGCACCTTAGAACATGCTGTTAGAGATGGGAGATCTTAGAACAGAGAATGTCAGGGTAGGAGGGCCCTTAGAACACTGACCAGGGTGTGGCAGAGCTGGGAGAACCATTTGAAACCATTCAGTCCAAGCCCTTTATTTTACAGATGGGGAGAGTTACCCGTTGTTACAATTCCCAAGGTGATTTCAAGTCAAGGACAGAACTGGGGCTAGAACCCAGGGCTCCTGATTGTTCAGCCCTTTTTCTTTCCCCTGCAACGTCCTGCCTCTGGGGGGGGGGGGTGGCCCTGGGTGTGCATTTCTAGGGCTGTGAAGTACAATTGGGCCCAGTTCAGTAGAAATGAGCGAGCCAAGTATGTGTCAGCAAGTGTGTGTTGAAGCACGTCCTTGTGTGTCAGCCTCTGAGTGTGCATCTGCTTCTGTCCTTCTGCCCTGGGATGTGGTACCCATTACGAGCTGACCTCTGGTGGGGCTTGTGCTGATATGTGCAGGTATGCACCTAGGTCATTCAGGGCCCTTCTACTGAGATGAGTCTCCCCCCGGGGATCCTGTGTGAGGAGACCCCTGTTCGGGGAGTCCAGAGCCAGCCCTCCTCACAGATCTGAAGGCAATCCGCTAGGGATTCAGTGCAGTCCTTCCAGTCTTATCTGACCCCATGTAGGGTTTTCTGGAATGGTTTGCCTTTTCTTTCTCCAGCTCATTTTAGATGAGGAAACTGAGGCAAATGCCCAGGGTCACACTGCTAGTAAGTGTCTGAAGTCACGTTTGAACTCAGGTCTTCCTGACTCTAGGCCCAGGGTTCTATCCACTGAGCCACCCAGCTGCCCAATCCTGTAGGGATGGGGGGTGGGGGAAGGGACTTCTGAGACTATGTAGGCAACATGGCATAATAAACAGAGAACACTGGATTGAGAGACAGAGGCCCCGAGTCAGGTCCCAACTCTGCTATTTATTACCTGTGTGGCCTTGGACAAGTCATTGCCCATTAGGTTGGTAACCTCCATGAGGGACTGTTTTTGCTTTTCTTTATCTCAGCACTTAGCACATACTAGGGGCTTAATAAATACTTGTTGACTTGACTACCCTTGGGTCTCAGTTTCCTCCTCTGTAAAATGAGGGGGCTGAACAAGATGGTTTGTAAGGCCCTTTTCATCTTTAAATCTATAAACCAATTTAAAGAGGTAGTGAAGGCCCCCGGTGAGGAAAAGGACCGAGAGGCTTTCAGATCTGTTTCTTATTCTACGTAGGCAGAAAGATGGAGTGGAGGACCTCATTGCTCTCTTCCCCTTTCCCTTTGAGAATTGGAAATTACTTGAGTTTAACTCCTTTGCATTTTATTTTTTTTTTCAAGCATGGACAGGCAGCTCACTAGCTTCCACTTGGTTCAGGGCCAGCCAGTTCCCATTTCAATAATGCTCTAAAGATTTTCAAAGTTCCTCCTCACCTGGCCCCCTCCGACCTTTCCAGTCTCCTGGCCCCCTCACTCCTGGACACATCCTCTTTGATCCAGTGACCCTGGCCTCCTGGCTGTTCCATGAGCAAGACCCTCCCTCTCTAAAATCGAGGCATTCTCCCTGGCTGCCCGCTCCCCCACCCCCCAGACCCGAACTCTGCTCTGACTGCTGCCCTCCCTGGCTTCTTTTAAATCCACTTCAAATCCTACCTTTTAGAAGAAGCCTTCCCTAGCCCCTCTTAATCCCAGCGCTTTCTCTCTTTTAATTACTTCCTAGTTATCTTGTACCTAGCTCACTTGCCTGAGTTTGTTTGCACATTGTCTTCACCTTTAGATTGGGAACTCCTAGAGGGCTGGGGCTGTCTTTTGCCTCTTTTTGTATCCCCAGCACTTAGCAAGTAGTAGGTGTTTAATAAAAGCGTGTTGAATGAATGAGCAATTCTCCCACCACCGCCCTGTGAGGTAGGCAGTATTATTAACTCCTTTTCACAGAGGTGGAAACCGAGATTCAGAAAAGTGAATTGACTGGCCCAACGACACGCAGCTAGAATCAGAGCTGACGCTGGAGCCCACGTCGCCTTTTGTGAGCTGTTCCCCAAATTCCATGCCTCATTTCCCCACTGCATTTGCATAAGGACTCCCCACCGCTAGCCTCCTCCCCGTCCCGGAACATTTCTTGCCATCTCTGCCTCTCCGAAGCACTCCTCCTTCTAGGCTTAGCGCAGGTGACCTCCTCTGGGAAGCCCTGGTCCCCACTTCTTCCCCCTCGGTGCTTTCTTTAAATCACCTTGTCTTCCTTATTCCTGGTATATGCAGTATCCCTCTCCCCCTCCTCCAAAAAGAATGTAAGCTCCCTGAAGGCAGGGCCCTGGAATCGTTCCTTTCTGCGCTCTCCGCTCTCCCACCCAAATCTATCATGAAGCCGGAAGAGCTTCGCTTGTACCCAACAGTGGGCTATTGCCCCCCCACCCCAGTACTTTCTTCGTACTTATCTAGGTGGCGATAAATACTCAGTAGAACGTAAGCTCCCTGAGGGCAAGGGCTGCTTCATTTTGTTCTCTGTATCCCCAGCGCCTGGCGCAGGATTGGTGCTAAATAAAAAGGACTGAGAAGTTGAATTCCTTCTCCTTGCCCTGGCAGCGCGAGGCTGCGGATACGCGGGCCTGGCTGCTCCCTCTCGGCCTGGCCCCTCATCCCTCTGGGCCCTCAGTGCCTGGGAGCCAGGAGGCGGAGTCCAGGTGCCCTAGAACCTGCGGCGATGTCTGGCGTCGGGGGAATCCTTTACTAAGCCTAGGCGTGGCGTAGGAAGTTGCCCCATATATGGGCATCTACGTCATCAGCCCTTCGACCGTACCAATCTGTTTGGCTCCCAGGGGGAAACGCGCGGACTGTTGGCTCTGAGGAGCATGGGCCTGGGTCCTTTTTTTTTCTGAAAAGAAGAGGATAGAATTGGGTAAGCGAGAAGACGAAATATAAAAAGGCGGAGTTCAGAAAAGATTTTCATTTTTGGAAGTTAAAGTCGAGAAAGTGGATCGCGATCGTCCCCCCCCAGACGAAAATGGTTCATTCCACAAAAAGGTTCATTCATAAAAAAGCAAAGGAGGCGACCGAGCATCAAGTGAGTCAGAAGCGAGTAGGGACGCGGGGAGTCTGGGAAGCCAGGGACCCACTCAATACTAGCGAAGACATGTTCCGAGACTTCGGGGAAGCTGGGCCCAGTTCCGGGGGCGGCTCGTACGGCGCTCCTCAGCAGCCGCCCACCACTTCGGGCCAGCAGGTGAGGAGGACACGAGAGCCAGGATGGTGCGCTTGGGGCCCCAAGCGACTCGGGACGGGCTGGGAGGCTGGCAGGTCGGCTGGGAGGGTACTTACTCCCCAGCGGCGAGACCCGGAGGGGGATGGAGAGGCCCAGGGCCTGGCCTGGGCTCTCCAGCCGAAGATCTCCGTGTCAGGGGAATGGGACTCCTGGAGGCAACTCGGTTCAGAGTGCCCGCGCGGGCAGCTAGCCAGGTCTGGCCCCCCAAGGCCCAGCGTTCCGTCTCTCGAAGCCTCTTATCCGTACCCCGATCTACCCTCTAGCCCCGGGCTCTGCCCCCTTTTCTATTCCTCCTCCTCCTCCCCCACGCCCCTTTCTCCCAGCCCGCTATTCCCCTGGCTCCACACGTCAGTTATCCGGGCCGAAGCGGGCCCTGGCCTGCGCCCACCCTGACCTGGAGCGGGGATGTGGGGAGTCAGATTCTTGGATGTCTGATTCATTTCGGGACTTTCAGCTTCATGACCCTCCCAAAGGATGAGGCTGAGAAGGAGAAATTAATCCCTCTCTGGGCTTCTAGGGTCCTCGGGATTGAGCTGGCGAGGGGGCGTAGCCCTGGGATCCTGGCCGGACACCTCCCCCACCAGCCATTGCGTGTGGGACTCCGGAACCTGGGGTGGTGGGTGCGAGAGCCAGTGCTCTGTCCCCCAGGACCCAGGGGACTCTGGGCAGGTGCCCATTTCCTGCCGAACCAGGGCCAGGCGAGCACGTGTCCCGCTTGGGGAGCTAGCCGGCCGAGGGCCCGAAGCGCCGAGTCACAGGCAGCTGAGTCACCGGGGGTGGGAGGGGGGGCTTGCGGGGGGCGCCCCTCCCTTCCTGGCCCCCAGAGGCGCTCCTGTCCGCGATTGCCGCAGCCTTTGGGTGCCCAGGGAGGAGGAAGCCGCTGACTCCAGAGTCCCTCAGGGGACGGAACTGGGGTCACCGAGGCCGCCCCAGCCCGGAGGAGACTGAGCCTGAACAGGCCTGGGCACGACAGCACGGCTTCCCGGACAGGGTCCCGGCCCCTCCTGACCCCACAGCCCGGGGCTCTTCCTAACCTCGCCCTCCCTAGCCTCTTCCGCGCCCACCCCACTCACCACTAACGTCTTCCCATTCCCTAAACCCGGGCTTCGGGCCCCAAGGTCATTCCTGAGCTCCCAGTCCCTCAGAGTCTTCCATCAGCCCCCTACCCCTAGTACTGGAGTTGAGAAGGGGGAGTTCAGTACTCGTCTAGCTGAGGCTGGCCCTGCCTGAAGCCAGCTGCAGCCCCCGAAAGCAGGACCTTCCTCCATCTTCACTTGGTGCTGGAGCTCTGTGGGACGGCGGCGTTGCCTCAGGTTGGCCCAAGCAGCCCCCCTCCGTGGAGCCGGCCACTTTACCTCGGCCTTCCTGAGCTGAGGTATTCCCTAACTGCCTCCCTTCTTTTTTGTTTCTCCTCCCCTAGAAGTTCCATTTCGCCCCCACCCTCAACACGGTCAGCAGCAGCCAGGAATTTCAGTGGATGACGCAGCCCCGATACTTGGGACCCGGTGGCAGTTACCCCAGACCTCTCCCTTACCAGCCCTATGGCCTCCAGGGCCGACCTGGAGTCATTCGTGCTGTGGGGCCTCCACCTGGGGTTCGGAGGAGGCACGGCGAACAGGTGAAAGACCCTTCCCCCCAGATGGAGGGAGGCCCCCACCTTGGGACCCAGAGGGTGCTTTCTGGCTCCCCAAAGTCAGCTGCTTGGAGCCTAGGGTACACACAGGCAGAGACTTGTTTTCCACCTGGGTCCCTCTTACTCCTAGGAATGAGAGAGGCTGAGGATTTTAGCCCGTTGGCCCCCTTAGCAGCTCTCTGACACTAACTAGCTGGGTCCCTTCTGTGGCTCTCGACTTCTTCTGCAAAATGGGACCAATTGTTCCACCACAGCTCTCACTGACTTGTGTGAAGGCAGGCCCTACAGAAATGTGAATTAGGGCCCTCACTTTCCTCCTCTGAAAAATGAGGGGTTGGACTCTGGAGACCCTTCCAGCCCTAAATCCTGCAATCTTTGCCTCCTTTTCATGAGCTCCTAAACCCAGAGCTGAAGCCTAGCAGCCAGCAAGTTCAAGCCCTTCCTTTCACAGTGAAGGAAACAGAGGCACTGGGAGGGAGAATAAGGGACTTGGGCACTGGGTTTGTTCCCTGGAATCAGCTGCCTTTTCCACCCTCTCGGTGCCTTGGTTTCCTTATTTCTAAAGCGAGGTGTTTGGACTACAGGAACTCCAAATTCTCTTCCACTTCTGAATCCTAAGGCTCAGGACACACCACCATAGCCCTGGTCTCTGCTCCCAAGCAAAGACCTGCAGCAGCCCCTTAAGGGGCAGAGGCCGTCCGTCTTTGGATGCCCAGTGCCTGGCACAGTGGGATGTGCTTAATAAATGCATGTGGGTTGCTTGATCCCCATGGCCTGAGAGTCCCTTATTTTGGGGCAGAGTGAGGACCCCTCCCCTTCAGTCAGTCCCTTTGGGAGATCATATCCTGGTCGGGTAGTGTGGCATTCACGGGGGCATTTGAAGTCATAAAGAGGTTCAAATTCCGTTTCTGACTTGTTCGATGTGTGACACAGCGCAAGTCATTTAGTCTTTCTGAGCTTCAGTCTGCTCATCTTGAAATGGGGGGTTGGACTGTCACGGGATCTGCACCTCCTCATCCTTCTGGTTCAAGAATCCTGTCTCCAAGCTCCCTGATAAGTGACCAGCCAGTCCTCAGGGAAGCCCAGCCCACTGCAGGACAGGTCTAACAGTCTAACGATTAGGAAAGGAAGATGAAAGTGGCTCCACAACTTACCCCCACTGCTCCTGGTTCAGCCCTCTGGGGGCAAACAGAACCAATCTACTCCTTTTTCAAACACTCAAGCGTTTGGCACAGTGACCTTGGCCAACCTGAGTCTTTTCTTTTTCTGGCCAGATATATTCAGTTCCTTCACCCAGTCCTCAGATGGCATGGATTCAAGGCCCTTCGCTATCTTGGTCATCCTCCCAGGACACTCCCCTGTTGGTCAATGTCCTTTGGAAACAATAATGTCCAGAACTGAGCATGAGACTCTGGCCTCTGTAGCCGATAAGGTTCCTTTCAGCTCAGATTTGGTGATTCCATGACCCCTTGATTCTGGGCTGCTCTTCCCAGGGTGTAAGGGATGGATAGGGTTCTCCTCCTTCCCCTTCCCTGCCACAGACCAGCACCTCCCACTCATGATGGTTTTCATCTTTGTTCCTCTCCTCTAACCCCTTGCAGATAAGTCCAGAGGAGGAGGAGAGGAGGAGGGTCAGGCGGGAGAGAAACAAGCTGGCAGCAGCCAAATGCCGGAACAGGAGGAAGGAGCTAACTGACTTCCTGCAAGCAGTAAGTGAGAGGATCGGGTCCCATAAGGCCCTAGGGCAAAGGCTCTCAGAGCCTGGGGGGAGCGGGGGGGGGGGGGGGGGGGGGGGGGGGGGCGGGGTCCTGCTTTCTCTCTATTGGCTGCTGCGGACTTAGGAGTCTGAAGGCCTGAATGCAGGTCCAGGTACTGACACTAACTGTGTCCCCAGACCCTCCCCTTCTGAGTCTCAGTTTCCTACTGGCAAAGGGGGGGTGATAATATTTGTACTACCTACCTTGGAAGTTTGGATTGTGGTGATAAAAAGTATTCTGTAAACCCCTGAAGCACCGAAGAAACTATTATTATTTGTTCAGACCTGGAGAGAGTTACTAATAGTGAAGGCTCCAGAACCATCAGTGGCTCCCTATTGCCCTCTAAGTAAAAGTCAGATCCTTATCTGGCACTCAAGGCCTTCTACCCTAACTTATCAATCTAATTTTACCCTATTTGCCTCTTACTCTATTCTCTAGGCAAACTAAACTACTTATTTCCCCCCGTCCATGCCTCACTTCTTAGCTTTTGCTTAGGCTGGTCCCCTTGCTTGAAATTCTCTCCAAGCCCTTTGAACTCCTACCTTTCCTTTGAAGCCTAAATCAAAATACCACCTCCTGCAGGAAGCCTCTTTTGATAATACAAAACAAAAATAATTGTCCTCAACTTGTATTTGTATAATGCTTAAAGGTTTTCAAAACACCTTACAAATATTAGAGATAGGTGTGATTATTCCCATTTTAAAGATGAGGAAACTGAGGCAGTCAATGGTTAAGTGACTTGCCCAGGGTCACACAGCTGGTAAATATCTGAGGCTGGATTTGAACTCAGGACTTCTTGCCTCCAGGTTCAGAGCTCTATCTACTTTACCACCTGCCTCCCCTACCCCTACCCCGTCCCTGAAGCCGCTTCCCCTTCTGATCTCCAAGGACATTGTTTTGCACTCATACACAGTATTAAATGACATCTGTATTTGTGTCTTATTTCCCTCTTGTGCTCCACGGGGGGCGGAAACCATGTACCCTCCAAACTCCATCTCTCTCAGTACTTAATGTTTATTCGTCTTTTGTTGTTTTGGTAAGGCAATCAGGGTTAAGTGACTTGCCCAAGGTCACACACCAAAGCTAGTAAGTGTCAAGTGTTTGAGGCCAGATTTTGAACTCAGGTCCTCCTGACTCCAGGGTCAGTGCTTTACCGCTGCGCCTCCTAGCCGCCCCAACTTAATGTTTATTGAATGGAGTAAAGGCAGTCAGGGAGTCCGGATACCAATTGAAATTCCAGCTTCACCACTTAGCAGCTGGGTGGCCTGAGGCAAATCACTTAATCTCTCTGAGCCTCAGTTCCCTCCTCTGTAAAATGACCTGGGTTGGCCTAAAAGATCCCTAACTCCTGTGATCCCATGAACCTCACCCTTCGGGAGCCTGATGAGCATTGTAGTCTGGACTGATCCAGCACCTGGGGACTTTGGTGAGACTCATGGTGTCCAAGAGGAGAAGGCCAAAGTGGGGGGAGGTGGGGGTGGGTGCTGCCCTGCTTCTGATGACTCACATTTCAACATCCTACCTCTCCTCACAGGAGACAGACAAACTGGAAGGAGAGAAGTCTGAGCTACAGAAAGAGATCGAAGACCTGCAAAAGCAGAAAGAGCGGCTGGAGCTGGTTCTGGAGGCTCACCGGCCTGTGTGCAAGGTCCCCAGTGAGTCGGGGGAAGAGGCTGAGCCAGCAGAGAGGGCCTCAGGCAGCGCCCCTGCTCCTGTCCGTCGCCGGCCCCAAATCTCCCTCTCCCCTGGTCCTGTTCTGGAGCCAGAGGCCCTGCACACGCCCACTCTCATGACCACCCCCTCCCTGACCCCCTTCACTCCCAGCCTGGTCTTCACCTACCCAGGGACCCCAGAGCCCTGTGCCACTGCCCATCGTCGCAGCAGCAGCAGCAGTGGGGACCCCGGCTCGGATCCCCTGGGCTCTCCCACGCTTTTGGCCCTCTGAGCCTCCAAGAGCTCGTCCCCTTTACCCTGGCCCAGCCAATCTAGGCCACCCCCTTCTTGTTTGGCCCCCATCTCCACCCTGTTCTGCAGGGTCCAGGACACAAATAGAGATGTCCTGAGCATCTTGGGGACCATGAAGTCTCTCCAGCCACCTCCCTGGGCTCAGGCTGACACTGATCCTATTCAAGGCAAGGAACATTGAAGTGCCTACTATGTGCAGGAACTCCTACTGTTGCAGGAGCTCTTGGGACTGCTTCCCTCCCCTGACACACAGCTCAGAGCTCCAGGGCCAAGTCGCCTGCATCCCTGTCCTCTGGGGCTGATTGCTAATCTTCCTACAAGGCCCTGACCCCCTTCTGAGCTATCACTGCCTCCTAGCCCCTCGGCTCCACAGGCTCCACATGGGACCAACGTCCTCCCCTGCAGCTCCAGGCGTCCAAGAGAACACTAAACACAAAAGCCCTTCTTCCCAGCAGCATAGGTGATGCGGAGCACCCCGCCCCTCCCCACCCCCACTGCCTTGCTCTGGTGCCCTTCTCACTGGGCAGGCCCTACCTCTGGAAGAAGAGCTCCCAGGCCTTCTTGATGTGCTGGAGTGGCCCTCGGCCCTCGAAGCTCAGAGAGGCTCCCCCCAAGCCCCACATGGAACCTACTCCTTTTCCTGAGAGGCTGCTATTTATTTTCCTAAAGAGACTATTTTTGTACAAATTGGCCAAATGGAATAAAAGAACTGAAGGTTGGCTTTGGGTGGTGTCTCCCTGGGATCTGGGAATTGTCTATCCAGGCAGAGAAGGATCTTAGAACACAATGCCGGTGTCCTTACAACATAGAACATAGGATGTCAGAGCAGGGGTGACCTTGGAACACAGAACACACAATGTCAGAGCTGGAATGGATTTGAGGCATCATCCAACCTAACTTCATCTTACAAATGGAGAAACTGAGGCCAAGAGAAGAGTGTAGTCTTGTCCCAGATTAGGTGGCTAGTTTGTGGCTAGACCAGGGATAGGACTCAAGCCTCTGGGTTCCTCAATTCCAAAGATTCCGGGAAACTTGGGAATGGGGGGGTTGCCTTTCCCACAGGGATAGTTTCTACATTAGCCAGGAAGAGGAGCAGTGCCCCGCAATCACTTCCCTGTCATCCCAATGGCCTGCCAGCCAGGCCCCGAGGTATCCTGCCCCTTGGCCAGCTCTGAAATCCCAGGGGAGGGGGGGGGTTCACCTCGGGCTCCTCTTTATCTGGACCTTAAACCCCACCACCTGCTTCCTGCTCCATTGTCTTAGCCAGAAACATCCTGGTCTGGGCAGGAAGGAGCCTGGATAGGGTGGGGGCTCCTCCTCAGGGCTTGGATCTGGGCCTAGTTTTGCTGCAGAAATCTCTAGACCCCTCTGAGCCCCGGCCCTTGGGTGTCCACTAAAGATTTGCTCCCTCACTAATTCCCGGGGGGCAGCTGCCTCCTCACTCCATCTTCTCGGGGTCAGAGGAGCCGGGACAAACTCCAAGGTTTCCCCAGGGATCTCCCTCCAAGCACAAGCCATTCTGGTTGAGGCTCCCTCCACTACATAAAGGGCCCGCGGCTGGGCGTCGCGGGAAGTCACCCCAATCTCCAAAGGGGTCTGGCTCCCCACCCCACCCCACCCCCAGCCCCGAGTCGCCTCTGGGTCCCCAAACAGACGCACGGTCTAGGCCCGTGGGCTGGGATCTCCTGCAGTTTTATTGCCCAAGGGCAAGGGCGCGTCTGTCCCCTCCGTCCGGGCTGGACAGAGCTGGGGCCGGGGCCGGCAGCCCGAGGCCGCTTCCCAGCTCGGCAGGGGCAGGGGCAGGGGCTGGGGGCTGCGGGGCTCGCTCAGTCGTCCGGAGAGCAGGCCAGGTGCAGCTGGTCCGGGCTGCCCACGCTGCCCGTGCTCGAGCTGCCGTCTCCCACGTCCCGGGCCCCGCACGGGGGCAGCCCCAGCTCGGGCCCGGGACCACCCGGGCCGTCGGGGCCGGGGCCTCCTGGGCCTCCTCCAGGCTCGGCCCCGGCCTCAGCCTCAGCTCCTCCTCCTCCTCCTCCTCCTCCTCCTCCTGCTGCTGCCGCCGCGGCGGCTGCCGCAGAGGCAGAGGCTGCCCCGGCCCCGGCCCCGGCCGCCGGCCGCGGGCCCCACTCCTCCTCCAGCGCCAGGCAGAGCTCCTTGAGCGCCAGGTTCTCTCGCAGCAGCTCGTCCTGGCGCCCCTCGAGCTGCGCCAGCTTCTGCCAGCAGCCGGCCAGCTCGTCGCGCACGGCCCGGGACGCGTGCGCCCCGAAGAGCTGCCACTCGCGGGCCACGCGGCGGCCCTTCTGGCGCTCGTGGTCCAGGAAGCAGCAGAGGTCGCGCAGCTCGCGGTTCTCGTCCTGCAGCCGTCGGTTGACCTGCTTGAGCTCGCGGATCTCGCCCAGGTGGCCCTGCAGCTGCCGGTTGACCTCCTGCATGAGGCGGCCGCGCTGCACCAGCGCCGCCAGCTTCTCCGCCTCCTCCTGCCGCAGACGGCGCACCAGCTCCTCCTTGGCCAGCCCCGCCAGCTCCGCGTCGCTCAGCGGCCGCCCCGGGCCGCCCGCCGCCTCGCCGCCCTCCATGGCCCCCGGCCGGGCGCCCGCTGGCGCATCCCCCCCCCGGCCCGCTGCCCCCCGGGCCGGCCGAGCGGGGCAGGGGCGCAGAGGCGGCCCCGAGGCCGAGGCAGCGGCGGCAGCGGCGGCGGCGGCGAGAATGGGGGCCCGGGGGCGAGCGGGCGGCCCGGGGCGGGGCCCCCTGACGTCACGGGGACGCGGCCAATGGGGCCGGACCGCGGCGGAGCCCGGGGAGGGTGGGGGGGGGCCCGCCCAGGGATGCTCGGGCCTGGCCCGGGGAAGGGAGGGGGAGCCGGGCGGGAGAAAGGTCCTTTCTGCCCAGCTTGGCAACAGCCTTGGACCCGGACGACCGCGTTCCCGGTCCTCCAAGGGCTCCCATCCTAGCTTGCACCGCGGCATCCCCGTGCCTGCGGGGGTGGGGGAGGGACTCAGATGTCCCAGCTCCCGGTCCTCGGAGGACTCCCACCTCATCTTCCCCAGAACCCGGGCGTCCCGGTGCTGCCCTGAGGTCCTATC